CATACACAAGCAAACATTTCTCTGCTAGCAACTGTGGCAAACAGAATGGTAAATAGCAATAAGGATTCTACCAACAATACAAAGGAAAAAGAAAGAAGGAAGACGAGAGCAGAGGCAGCCATAACCAAGCAGCTGAAAGCCACACACACAGAAAACACTGACATGGCCAGAAAGAACTCAAAGTCTTATATACACGGACAAGTCAAATTAACTGCTAACATTTTCTTCCTACAGGACCCCACAAGGCTATCGTCGTCCTATTTCAGCAGGAAGTAACTTGGAGAATGCTATGCCCCCTTTCCCCATTGTTGTCACTTAGGATAGTGACAACACTATCCTAGTTAGGGATAGCTTCCTATTGTTTATGGTTGGGATTGGAAGGAGGTGTTTAGGCTTGGACACCTCTTTCAGATGACTTTAGGATTTAGTTAAAATAGATAGTTAGAATGTGACATAAGCAGATTCTTGTATCTTCTTATATTTCATCTTTATGATTGTTAATTTTGGATACTTTACACTGTTAAGTTTTAATCCTCTTTTAGACTAAAAGGGGAATTGTAGGGAAACCTGTAGCCATGCCTGCTTAGCCATGCCTGCGAGGGTGTCGTCAGGGTGATGTAGAATAAGAGTTTCAGGGCTGCGTTTCAGTTTTGTTTCACTTTTCAGCTTGGGTACAGACTGCTGTCACGCCGGCTGGCTAGGTCGCTCTGTAAGTAAGGCTTTTCCCTATTAAATACCCTTATATTTCTACCTGACTCCATATTGGTAATTTCCCACTATAGAGAGCTAACTCAATTCCTGTTTATAATTATAAACATCAAACAATTGTGAGTTTGGCTGAGAATTCTAAGCCAGCTTCACAGAGTTTGTAAGTACTGCTGTTGCATAGACACAGAGCTCAGATTATACTCTCTGTTGAAAAGTGCCCCCTCCTTTTCTACTGGATCTGTGTATGAGCCTGCAGAGGACTGAGACTGTACTTGCTGTGCACCCAGTCACAACACTAATAGGATCTTGTAGTTTTTTTGTTTGTTTGTTTGTGTTGGGGGGATATTTTTTGTTGTTGTTGTTGTTTTGGTTTTTTTGAGACAGTGTAGCTTTGGAGCCTATCCTGGCACTCGCTCTGTAGTCCAGAGTTGGCCTTGAACTCATGAATATCCACCTGCCTCTGCCTCCTGAGTGCTGGGATTAAAGGCATGTGCCACCACCGCCCAGCAGATCTTGTAGTTAGTGCTATAGTGGCTAAATCTTTGGGATTTCCACCATGCTTTGTGGCTCTCCTTTTGTAGTTGCTTTCCCTTTTACTCAGTATGCCCTTCCAGTCTTAGCAACGGTCTGTTGCTCCCAGAAACCTGTATCGAGAGGTCCATTTCCACAGAGGGAGGTGGACTTTTCCATCTTATTCCACTTCTCAGTGCAGACCTGTCTCATGCTTCTTCTTGCAGGACGTTCTAAACCTGAGAAACTCAGCGTTCTCAGAGGAAAGCCTGGGAATTCTTAGTGAGAGCCTTCAATTGCTCTCTACCAGGAAATCAAATAGCTTCCTACACATAACACTCCCTTTTTCATTCATCTGAAGTACTCATTCACAGCTATGCGATAAAATTAAAGGAGCCCTCTGTCCCCAGGGTGGCACCGATGTCAGAAAGGCTTTGATACTTGTCATCTGCTAGAAGCATGTTGCCCAAGCACCTTTTCAGTTTCAAGAGACAAATGCTCAAAAACACACCAGAGAGGAAACACACTGGGTGGAAACTTAAGGCATCAGGCTCTTGCTGCCATCAGCAATGGAATAGTCAGGAAAAGAAATCACATTTCTGAGATCCTATTTTAGTTCTCCCAAATGGACATGATAGCAGATTTCACAACCTCAGAAAAGTGTCTTACCTGAGTTTCAGTGCACAGTTTTGTTTTCCGGAGGCAACCGCTGAAGGTATTTAATCCATCAAGTACTAATAAAGAGGAATGAGAATTATCATCTCTCACATACATAGAAAAACATTGTTCAATTTTTGCTAATATCATTTAATCATTGTAATGGCCGAATCACTGTTACCTGTCACCAGAATCAAGAAAGAAATGACTTGCTCTCTTATAGTATGTCACTCTGAGAAAAGTTTTTATAATGGGTATTACTCTGTGAGAGCCGGGCATGTTTGGGTAGCACCTTCCCATCTTCACATCACATAGACATTTATTAGATTGCTGAACACAGAGTAACTTTGTGGACAGTGCTCTCTTGACTCAGATACTTCATTGAAATTCCCCAAAGGGTCTAACATGCCATTGAGTACCTCCTATCTCCACTGAAAGAGCTACAAAGTATAACAAGAGTCTGTAACAATTCAAAGAGATGTACAAACATGGTCACCTCAAAAAAAGAAAAAAAGCAGAATCATTGTTTCCATTTACAAAGATCTAAATTGGGAGCTAGGAGGATACAAAACAGAGGCAAAGGATCGACTCTGGGGGAAAAAAGGATATATTCCGATTAAACCTGGAATTCTGATCAACAGCATCTAGCACACACAATGCTTTTTCTTATAATTGCTTTTCAAACTCTAATTTGATCCTGAGAGTTCCTTCGGGGCCTGGGAGGTAGAATTCCCCTTAGATCAAGCAATCATTATTCCCCATTTTACAAATGAGGAAAATGAGGCAGAGGAAGTTAAGTAATTGTTTACTAAATCATTCAACGGTTTATCACTAGAGAATAGTGAAGTGAGACAGGGATAGCTGCAGGGCAGAGTATTTTTGTGGTGCTCAGACATCCAGGCCCCAGAATCTCCAGTCTTTCTTCTTTTAAAGTTAGATTTGGGGTGAGACGTTGTGTCCATTTCTCCATCTCAAAGCTGGGATTTTGTCTGGCTTGAAACTGTGCTGGTCTTGTTCATACTGTCATAGTCTGAGTTCATATGAGCATCAGTCCCGTTGTATACAGAAGAGGTTTCCTTCCATCTACCATCTCTGGCTCTTACAATCTTTCCGTCTCCTTTTTATCATACATATAATGAAGAAGTTATTTAAAATTGGTGCCTGCTGGGAACAGGAACATTATTTTTCTAATAACATTGTCCCTGGTTATAACAACCGTACTTCAGGGCTTGCCCAGTATCCAATAAAACAAACTCCATAGTTTGAGTCTTTTACTTTTGGTGGACATTCTGGTTTTTTGTTTTTTGTTTTTGTTTTTGTTTTGTTGTTGTTGTTGTTTTACTTACATATTTTGGTTGGTCTCCTTAGTTTTTGTTTGATTGGTTTTCATTTTGTGTTTTACTTCCTTTTCCTTCTGGAAAGAAAAAAGGACCTGAAGGTAGTTAAGTAGAAAGTGGGGAGCAACTGGAAGGATTTGACAGAGGGGAAAACTTGATCAGATATATTGTGTGAAAAAAATTAAAATTAATTTTAAAAGTAATTTTAAAAACTTAGGTTTTAAAGAAGCTGCATCCAAAATCTGTCATCTTGACTACTGCATTGAAATTCTTGCTTAAAAACAGAAAGCCAGCATTAATGAAGGTAAGAGTGGCTGAGGCTGGTTCTCACCCATTTCAATTTCACAGTTAAGGAGTATCAATGATATATTGTAATAGGAGTTAAATTTCTTGAACATATACTATAAGTTGAATACTTTTATTAATCATACATAATCCTAATAATAGTTTACACAGTGGTTATAGGCTCCCTATACATACAACTACATAACTTTAAGGACACTGTGTCATTCATTGAGGGTTTTGCTGTCAGGCCACATTTGCAATTAAAATCAGGTCTTTTTAAGTTCAGATTCCATACTATGATCCCTCTAATGTAAGCCAGTTTTGTATATAGAGTTGAGGCCCACAGTCCACATCTTAGTAGAGGTCCTCTAATGCCTGTTTATCAAATGTGCCAAAATAAACAAGCTGCCCCAAAGTAGATGGGGATTAAAAACAAGGGGAGTCTACCTTACCGTGCATTAGCCTTCAGTCAGTGATGGATAAACAGAAATGGACCTACTACTCTAATTTTAGCAAACACCATTATTTCTATAAGAATAACTTCCAGATGCCGGCCTGGGTGTCCATTTTGTTATTTCTGGCAAAGAAAACCCTCACATTTTGCCAGCCAGAGAGAGCAGAATCTACTAATCGGTGCCAGCCATGATTTGTTCCCCCAACATAAAAGCACAGGCCTTTCCCTTGGAATGCTTTGTTATATGCTTCTTTCCCCCGACTGTTCTGTCTGCAACAGCACAGACTCATAGCCATATCATGATCTGCAACTGAGCTTAGAGCTAATCTCTTAAGTTAGTAAATCGATTATTATCAGTCAATGGCATTTTCCTTGGGCTATACCATCCCTCTAGGAGAGTATTTCTCAAAACTTGCTTGGTATTTGAGTAGCTGGAATGATGTGAAGAACACAAAAACAAGCCTGTCAAGACAAAATAGGGCCTGGGTCTTTCCATTTTCATGATTCTGAAAACAGGCCATTTTGAAAATAATTGTTATGGTTCACTTCACTTACCTCTTTCCTGTCCCCCATCAGAGCTAAGCCCATGAGCTTTCCTAATGTTGTCTCTGGTTTAGAAGTGCTCCCCCACCCCTGCCCCAACAAGACTATGCTAAGAAACCCTAGGAGGCTGTGAGAGATATATAGAGCATATATGGAGGGAGGGATAATTAGGCTATTGTATGCACTACCCTCAAACTTTTGAGGTCCCATAGTTAGTTCTTAAAACTGTAGGTGCAGTGAAAGGAGCTAGCCTGTCCTCCAGATGCTTTGACTTCTTGCTGAATGGAATTGCTAATTACATCTCACTGTGCTCTGTACAATTCGGTTAGCATGATTACGACTGAGTTGTCAACTTCCCTACACTACACATGAGGTGCCGCAGTTGCAGACTATTCTGAGGCTGTTTTTTTTTAAATGTAAATGACGTTTTATTTCTATTTTTAAGAGATGATAACAAAACAAAATAAAATATAATAGCATATAACAAAATCCGTCATACTGAAATTAGACATGACATGCCAATGAAAAATAAGAGTCCCAAGAGAGAAGGCACAAGATTCAGAGTCCCACTTGTTCACACATTTGGGGGTCCCAAAAAAGTACTAAGCTGAAAACTATAGTATGTAACAATAATTCTTTCCGCCAAGCCGCCTGAGTCCTCTCGCCATGTGGGAGTTTTCTGCCAGGCGGCCCAAGTTCTGCCTGCTGCCACGTTAAGGTCCCAAGTAACACACAGAGACTTATATTAGGTATAAATGCCACTTGGCCAATCGAATAGGATTTCTTATAATCTAGCTCAGTGTTAATTATCATAAATCTATATATTTTATAAGACTTATCTTATTGGATGCCAGCAGCAAGCGTCCTGTCTTCCCCGGGCTCACATGGTGACTCTGTGCCTTCTCCTACCTTTCCCAGAATCCTCCTTGTCTCCTAGCCCACCTATTTTATTTTCTTATTGGCCAACAGTACTTTATTTATCAACCAATGAGACAATCATATACACAGAAGGCCCTCCCCCATCAAGAGTATATATTCAGGGGACTTGGTGAAAATACTTGTAGGCCCTGTGACTGTTCCCTCGGTCTCTATGAGTTCATATGAGCTTTGTTCAGTTGTTTTAGAAGGCCTTATTCTCCTACTGCCCTCCATTCCCTCTGTTTCCCCACTCGTTCTGTCCCGTCTTCCATGGGGTTCCCTGAGTTCTGAGGGAAGGGATTTGATGGAGACCTCTGGTTCCACACCCCACCTTTCTGCACTTTCCTTTCTGCTTCTCTGTCACCTAGTGGTACATTTAAGGTAGGATGTCTCACAAATCATCCATGTTGCTTAGATCCTCCAGCCACCAGAATTAAGCCAAATAAGCCATTCTATTTTTACAAAATATAAAGCCTGAAGTGTTTTACAGCAACAGAAAACAGACTAAAGGGTGAGATTTGGGTCTATTCTGCTCCTAAACCAGGGCAGAAAAACTCAGGACTTCTCACAGAACTGATGAATCCTCTGTTGTGGCTCCTGAGTTACAACTTCTCCCATTGTATCTAGCCCAGGGCCTGAAATGGCATTCCTATTTCCTTGGGGTTCCTGAAAGTCAGCTGCACATGTGGGGTATTTGTCACCACGCCACTCCTGTCACTCCACTTGTACTTTTGTTTGTCCAGACCCCTCATTCAGATCCCAAAATATCCTCCTAAGTTCTTTCCACACACATACCTCTTAAGTCAGCGACTCCCTTGATATTTGCACTTGATAAATTTTTAATTTTTTTATAATTGTAATTAGACCAATTTTAAATTAGAAGCAAGTTTCTTTTTTTCTTTTGTTAAAGAATTTTATTTTTTATTTTTTAGAGTCAGGAGGGCAATTCAGTGAACACTGAATGCCCCAAGTTTATTCTTCACCATTCTTAAATATCTTAACCAAAAGGGGAAAATAGTACAGACTTGCTTCCTCAATTCTCCAAGGATTCAGAAACCACACCTTAGATTTAATTCTGAGTTATCTGGCCTTGAGGGTCAAGAGTAACCACACCTTATACCAAATCTGTTGTATTTCAGATCTGTTGGGTGTCTGTAGATAAGACACCCAAGGTCAAGATCAAACATGCCTTAGACCTTTAGGTCTTATGACTTACTTACTAGGGACAGTTTTGAACTCTCTGACCTTGAGCCAAGATGAAGTGGAGCCATCCTTATGGGCCCCAATAGCAAAGGGACTTGCAGCACTATTTAATTTTCCTTTTAGTGCGAGAGTGTGTGTTTAAGACAATCTTGAGTTAGTGAGTGTCCCTGAATTCCATAATATTTTTTTAATTTTTTTATTTGAATTAGAAACAAGATTGTTTTACACGTCAATCCCAGTTCCCTCTCCCTCCCCTCCTCCCCCACCACCTCCCCCAACTAATCCCCTACTTATCACATATCCTTTCTGCTCCCCAGGGAGGGTGAGGCCTTCCATA